AGATTTTCCCAAGAACATTAAATTTTAATAATAATTACAAAATTAACAAGAGTATTGTGCTGGAATAATATTGATTCGAAAAAATGCAATTAAAAATTAATCTAAGCGAAATATTATAATATATTATATCGATATATATTGGAGATGATATTATAATGCCTGTGCGTTCGTTTATTCACATTGGGAGCTATTGAGAAAATAAAATCTATAATACACTACGTTACGCTATACATATATGTATTGTATATGTATATTTTATTTTCCCAGTAGCTCCCAATGGGAATGAACAATCGCAGGCACTATATCTATATTGAAGATTAATTGACTAGGTATAAATTCTCTTTAAAAAATTAAAGATTATTTACGAAATAATAACAGATCTATACTTTTAAACATGAATGTATGAAATGACTCCCCTGTAGCCGACTCCCCCGAATAGCCCCCGGAAATATTTGTGAAATTTTAGTAATTATTATTCCAAATAGTGAAATAATAACTTCTATAAACACGAATATGCAATTATAATTATACACTAAATTATAAAAACTGGAAATTATTTACAGCTATAAATATCTTTCGAAGTTGCAATTTTCTGAATTGGCATTTAAGTGTAATTTTATTCTTATTTTATTATTGACATCAAGTATTATTGCTATCTGTTATTTATTATCTAGCTTTATCAGTTTCCGATTTAGAATGATAATGAAAATTACTTCGTTTTCGATAAAGAAAGAAAAAATATCTTATCATAAATGTCTGTTATCGTAATTGAGTCTACCTGGAAATGCAAATCTTACGAAAAATTATTCATTGCTAAGTTTGTAAGTAACACATACGATAAGATATCGCATTTTTAAAATCCGCAAAATCCATGAATTGCAATTAACACTTTGATCAAATTACAATTAATTTAAGATAGAAGAATTTAATTTAATAGATTAATTTAAAAGAAATTTAAAAATTGCGACGATTTATATTATTACATAACACCTGCAACCTTAATTAAGATAGAGTTTCACAGTGTTAGGGTCACTCGTAGGTGGTTTTAGCCGGTAGGCTACGGAGAAACGGCGGGATTTTTTGTCCCTGCTCTCCATAGAATCCGGCACTCTCCTGTCCCACCCCGGGGGCAGGGTGTCTTCCCCCTCCAACATCAGAGGGGGTCACTGGCTCAAACCCCCGGTGAAGCGGTGGCGCTCCCCGATCAAGGGCGCTCCCCGAACGGCGGCATAACGTCGCCGGAACTGGTTGCCTCCGTGGATCCGTGGGGATTCCAGTGGTAGAAGATTTCCCCTACGTAAAAAAAAAGGTAACACAAATAGATATTAAAATTTATTGTTTGACACATGGAAAGAAAAATTAGATTCGCAACGATGAATTATACAGAGTTAGAAATCTTGTAAGTAATTCTACCCATTGAATCGATAACCGCGATTAAGTTAAATATATAAATGATATGAGTTAAATATATGAAAGTTTGATTGAAGTCGATTGTCTAACGTTAAGACAAGGTTGCGATTCAAATAGAAATTATTTAACGTTTCGTAATCAATATCACATTGCTTTTTAAGCTTTTAATTCTTCAAATATCTCACGAAATTTTTTTTCTGTTTCTTTCTTTTGATATACAAAATATGTCAATTGCAATGTAGGAGGAGGGAGCAGGATGATCGTATATTAGTTAAAATCAGCTAACAGATATTATCGCAACTTTATTTTGATATTATTTTATTTAATTTTCACTTCAATTAAAATTGACTGTAAAAAAAATAAGAATTTCTATAATGTATTCCAGAACATCATTGTAAGTCGTAATTGCTGACATAATAAGCATTGTTTCTTAGTTTTTTAGTTGAAAGAGTCAAAGAGAAGTTCAAAGTAATATAGGTATCTCAATCTTTCGTCGATTGTGCGTTCCCATTTCCGGATCAGCGACATTGTGCGACTCCGTGACGTCTGTTCGTTTATTTGCCTATACGTTCTCCCATCCACGCGAATCCCGCCTTCGACTCCTTCGAGCAGAGAAACCAATATATAGGCCCAGTGTATAGTTCACATGTACCGCATTCGACGCTGATAACTCTACCAGTGCGATTTTTGTGCGCGCCGCGAGTATTCGAGCGTTCTCCAACGAACGCTCTCAAACCATTGTTCTCTGACGCAACAGGTACGCTCACCTATTAATAGATCGGCGCCAGACCGGCGAATTGCACGAATTCGCAAGCGATCAGCTAGTTACGTTTCTTTTAAGAAATAAAAGTTTTTGGCAAAATTTGTCGCGGAGAAATAGCTTGTGTTTGAAAGGAAAACATACCAAGACGTTAATTTTGGAGTGAAGTTATTGTAAGTCTCGAGATTAACACGTTCGCTACCGCTGGAAAACAATTGGTACCGTTATAGACTTTATTTTTAATAGATACGCACAGTATGCTACACATTTTCACTTCCGCACACATATACAGGTCACTAAACATGTTACATAACGTGTCATACATGTATGACGATATAAAGTTATATTACACGTGTACGGTTCTCTCCTGAGAATCGATGCGTCACACATATGTGACGCATGATAGCGGGCGTGTTAAGAGATTCGCTAATGTGATTAAAAGTAAAACCATTGTAGTTAAAATCATTAATACTAAAGGAATATTTCATGTGAGTGTGATGCAAATTATTTACTTTCTAATTGCTTTTATTGTGAATAAATAATCGTTTTTAACAAAAATTTATTTTAAATTATGTCTACGTTTGACTAAACTGTGTCCGGGAAACATTAAGATTCGTGTTTTAATGTTTTCCGGACATAGTTAGTGTCTGGAAATAGTGTTTTAATGTTTTAATGTTTTAATGTCTTTTTTTTTTAAAAGACCATCAATAATGACTTATAATGATGTAGCTCTGGAATACAGAAATTCTTATTTTCTTACAGTCAATTTTAATCAAAGCGGAAATTGAGTAAAATAAAATAATATAAAATTGCGATAATATCTGCCAGCTGATTTTAATTAATGTACATAGGTGTCAATTTTGCATATGTAAAAAGTTAATTAATTTTTATTCTAATATGAATTTACTAATATAAATATTTTAATTAATATTTTAATAAAAAATAATATTAATTCAGTTAAAAAGAGAGAGAGAGGGGGGAAGTAAAGAAAAAGAGCGGGAATGATATAATTTATCACGTACGACACGCACGATTTAATTATTATCGCTTAAACTGTTAAATATTCATAGAACGCGATATCAAGGAAAGAGAAAGAAAATAGAAAAGAAAGAGAAAGAATATAAAAATATGAAGTAAAAACAAGTTGCCATGCCACAAGTTTATGGTCGCTTTTAAAGGCGAGGCACTTTCCTTATCAGTTATCTCTAGTGAAACGTGGCCAACAATTTGTTGAAGGTGATGCGAACGCTTATTTTACTCAATCGATGATATCGAACATACCGATTATTCGAAGGACACGTGCCCACTCGTTCACTTTTTACGAATCGAAAACATTCCGCGATGCAAGTTTTACCTAACTGCGAAGAAATCTCCTTCATTGTACTCATTGAGAAAAAGCAAAATAGTTCTGCAAATTAACTATCATGTGATAATTGATTTAAGTAAACAAGTTTTATGAAGTCATGAAAACAAAAGTAACTTTGAAAACTATCAAAATGAACGGTCTCAACAACAACTGTGATGTTGAATATTAACATGGTACAATCTCGGTTTAGAATCATCGAGCAAAATATTTTTATCTCAGATATAATAAAAAGTTATATTATCTTAGAAAAGCAGTGGCACACTGAACAAATCTGCGATTCGTTTTATATCGCCTTTATAATATATGATCATCGCAATTGTTAAGAAACTGATCTTTCCCTCTCAAGTATCTTTTATCATTCTTTTTATCTCCGCTCGTGTAGACTTATTGTTAAACATGAAAAAACCAAACTGCGAGAAATAACATTACATTGCTAACAGAATAAATATACATATATCTAAAAAGAATAATTATTCCTATATCAGATTTTTTTTCAAAATTTTAAAACATTTTTCAAATCAGGGGATTTCCACTTAAAAAATATCTTTTACACATGAGACATTCGTCAAGTTTTAAAATGTGGTGGTTCTAGCATTAATTAAATTTATCCTCGCATATATGTAATGTTGCATGTATTAATTATTCATATCCAACAGAAAGAAAATAATAACTTTGATGAAGGAACAAAAAGTTTTTTCAAGCAAATGTTTCTTTTAATTTTTTATTTTTTATGTTCTTATTTTTATCACATTCCACGTACTATTTTAACAGAAATTTAATTATCTTTTCATAAAAGTACTTATTCTAACGTGAATGCTCTCAATTTCATAAAAATGAACAGTACGATGCGCGATGATGTAATTGAATTCTCAATACAATTTCAATTGATATGAAACTGATGCGTATGAGTCATATTTATGATATGTCTACGTGTGTACATTTTCTACATGTTGTGAGACGTTAAATCTCCCGTATACATTTAGATTTTTCTTTCGAGAATTTGATAGCTTATCACATTATACGATACGCATGTTACTCGATTGTAACTCGATTCGCAATCAAGTTGTATTCCGCGTAATGATCTAATAAACAAGCTCCAGCACAGGTTTCAATATAATGACGTATTTGGATATGTTTATATAAATTACAAGTCTAAAAAAAAATTAGAGAATAGTGAAGCAAATATTTCTTTAGCGATCAATACATTTTTTTCATTTTTTATTTGTTCCACTGATATCAAATGAAAGACTTTTGAAAAAAGATTACAAAATTTATGATTAGTTATCCGGAGAAGTGTTATATTATACTGCGATAGTGATAAGACACACACACACACACACACACACACACACACCCACCCACACACACACACACTCTCTCTCTCTCTCTCTCTCTCTCTCTCTCTATCCGGTCACAATCGGTGAAGATTGTGTGCGTGTAGATAATGTTATATCAGCGTTCATACTCTGCTGGGAGTCATATAAAGCTGGGAAATTGGGAATTTTTGGCGAATAAGATATCTAACTAACATTTCCGTTGGTTAGATAGTCTAAATCAGCTAAAAATAGATTTCGCAGAGTGTCGTCTACAAATTTTATCGGCAGAACATTAATAGAAATATAACAAAGAATCTGCTAACAGGAATATGATAACAGGATGACTGCAAGCATCGAGCAGAATCTGTCATATCGCAACTATTTACATTTTCATTTAAGTAATTTATGGAATGATAAATATCGCTCGGTTTCTGCTGGCAATATTATTATGTCGACAATCTGCGCTGGCTACCCGAGCTTAATTAAGGGGGCGCATAAAAAATAGCCCTGTATAAATTTTTTTTTAGAAAATATTAAGATAATCAAAGCGGGGTTTTACCAGTATATTATATGTATATTTATATATTAATATAATGTTAAATTTTTATTTAAAAACAGAATAATGAATTTCTTTCGCCAGTATATAGAATAACAATTAAAGTAATTTAAATCGATCGTGATTGGCAATATATAACGCCTTTTCGATATGAACATTAAAAAACTGTGAGCCAACTTGGTTTGTCGGATTCACACAGCACTTTTTCGTATCAATCATCGAGGCATTATTAATTTCGACCGTGAGTTTTGGTCAGTTGATGTAATTTCTAAATTAAATAGTTTAATTTTTATATTTAATAGTTTATATTTTATTTATTTAAAAATATTTAAAAATATATACGGCAGATATTGCTGTTGACGTCAGATACATCCACTGCTGGTATACGCTTTGCATTACCCTATGTCACATAGGCTATGTGCAACCTATATGTTTATCTAAAATCTATATGTTTATTTAAAACAAATAAACAATAGATTCTTAAAATATATAGATAAATCTAGTCTACGTAGCCGATTTTAAAAATTCGCAATTTTTGCAAAGTGGCTCTTATCTAAATATAAAAGTGCGAATCAATTGTTTCTTTTTGGCTATAAAAAGAAAACTAAGACCTAAAAGCATCCTACGATAAAGACTGCGTAATTTCATACTAAATAAATAAAAAAAAAAAAAAAAAAAAATGAATCTGATCCATCTAATTGTTTTCGAGATATTTCGGGTACCGATTTTGAAAACATGGTTTCGAGAAAAACGCGTTTAAAGTTTTAAGTATACTTTCAAGCAATATTTAAATAATTTCTTTTGACTTATATGAAATCATCTATTTCATACAGCAAGCCTTGTAACAAAGATTGTGATATTAATAAGGGAGGGAGATTCTATAGTAGCAGTAATTATCGACATTTATTTATTAGAAGAAATCTTTGAATTGGCTTTACCGAATTGCAAAATTTTTTTTCAGAATTAAAGTACGCACAAAAATCTAGAGCAGGACACACGATTTCATATCAGAAACAAAAAAAAATTAAAAATTTGGCACATACAGCTGTCACCTGACAACATTATTTACTTAAATAAAAATACTGCAATTTATACATTACAAAATGACATAGAACTGCCTTAGGGACATGTAGGAACAATAACGTGCAAATAGAAGTTTAGAAAAAAAATTTTCTCTAATGAAGTTTTATTATGCAGAAGCACATGCAGCTTGATAGGATGAGCAGTATTGCGTGTAGCGAGACATGGCGCAACAATCGGGCAAGGACAGATATATTTCTAATGAAATTTTATTATGCAGAGGCACATGTAGGTGTGCCTTAATATCAACCTGCATGTGCCTCTGCATAATAAAAACTTCACTAGAGAAAATCTTTTATTCTAGGCTTTGGATTTTACAATTAGTTCTATTTGCACGATATTGTTCTTACATGTTGTCCCTAGGGCAGCTCTATGTCATTTTGTATATAAACTGCAGTATCTTTGTTTAAGCAAATATTGTCGTCAGGTTAGGACAGCTGTATGTGTTCAAAAAAAATTTTTTTTTCGTTTCTGATATGAAATCGTGTATTCTGCTTTAGATCGTTGTGCGTACTTTAATTCTGCAGTAAAAGAATTTTGCAATTCTGTAAAGCCAATTCAAAAATTTCTTCTAATGTCTATCTTTTTAAAACGCTGTACATTTTTTATTTTTTCGAATTTTAACTTACAACTCCAAGAAAATATTCTTAAGCATATACACTGTAAGAAAATGCAAAAATTGAAAAATAGTGTTTTTTACTTGTCACTTTAATTAGAATGCAGTTAACACCAATCTATTTCAATGTTCTGCTTGAACCTGTCGGCAAATTGCTAACACTTTGCTTATTGAGTTATTTGCTCCGAGAATTCCGCTTACTCCCTCCATCTTGTTTTATTTAAAATAGATAAGAAATCGACAAATATACATATATCATATTAAAATTGTTACAAAGTCATCTGATTGCGCTTTTTTGCTTCTTGAATCTGTATCAGTCACCGCGATCCGTTTTTCTATGTAAGTCCATTTTTATCCGATAACAAAACAACTATGTGGTTCAACTGAAAGTCTGTTGCACTCACGAATTTTTTACAATATATGATCTATTCCTCTTTGTTATTTCCATTCAACTTTATTGCTCAACAACATTACAATCTTATATATTGCAATAAAATGTGTATGAAACGTAAGGGTTGTAAAACATAGTAGCAATTGTGTTTGTGTGAAACTTGCGACGACTTATGTAATTATGTAATATAAGTGTAATGCTAGATTTTACACACGAAGAATGGACAATGCAAGCGGATGATTAAACGTTACATAAAAATATAACTTATTTTGTATTTTTTTGCAACTAGATAATAACGAAAGAGTAGGCAATTTTTATGAAAAAAATGGACCACCCACCAAGTTACACGTCACCACCATATCCGCAACCACAATACCCTTATCCGCAACCACCACCAACGTCAATGCCATCAATGCCATCACCACCACGTAAGTGTAAAATTATGAAAAAAGAATCTTATAATCAATAAAAATTATATTATAAAAAACAAGTTTATACATACAATATTTGTGCATATGCATAATATCTAATCATCTAACAATAAAATAAATACTTTCGAAGTTTAACGCGTCTAATGTGGCCACAGATACGGTGCATACAATCGTAACAGGGACGGCCTTCAGCAATGAAAGTCAACATATGACCTGTCCACACTGCCATGCTACTATAAGTACGCGCGTAGACTCGGAAGCGAACACGAAGACACATCTAATTGCGGTGCTCCTCTGTTTATTCGGGTAAGATTGTAAAATATAGTATAAGAAAATCTTATCAAAAAAAGGTCCGATTAAATCTGACGTTAATTCTTTTCCAGATGCTGGTGTTGTGCACCGTGCCCTTACTGCATGGATTCTTGTCTAGTCCACAAGCATTACTGTCCAGCGTGCGATGCTTTCCTTGGAGCATCAGAAAATTAATCAATTACATTTGCGATAAAAATATAAAAAGATAGTGCAGAATTATATTATCATCAGCTAGGATATACGATTCATAAAGAAGACATATTGTTTTTATCACATATTTCAAATAAACTGTTGTCAAACTATCCACATGTAAATTAGTTTAAAAAATTTTGTTGTTGCTTACAATTTTTACAAAGTGTGCGAATATAACACACACACACACATACACACACACACACACACACATAAAAAGGAAGGGGAGAGCTCTTACTCTTTTGTTTTTATAAATACTGCTAGAGAAAAGAGATTTACGTGTATATAAGCTACATACGTTTTATAAGTGTTTTTTATACTGTTCGCGGTATTTTTTATCAACCTGTAATCTTGCATTGTAAAAGGAAATATTATAGAAAGAATTAGTAATTTTTTTAGACATACGTGTCTAACAAACATTTTAAAAACGTCTGTACGTCTTTATAGACATGTGTGCTATTTAAAATACAACACTATTAATTATACTTACGTGTATAATGTATTAGTAATATATATAATAATATGAATTATATCATAACACTAATAAAATTAATTAGAAGACTTCAAATTTGAGTTTCTTGTCAAAGCAAATAATTACAGTTTATTACTATCAAAAATTCAATATTTCTTAAACAATTGGCACTTAAAACTACTGCGACGCTAATCTAAAATTTCCATTTTCTTCAAAAGAACCACGTGAAATTCTTTTTTTCAAAGGCGAGCGAGATAGGTTAGAGAAAAGCTCGAAGCATTTGGAAAGATAATTGGAAAGTTACGAGACGGAATTTTGTAGCAAGGAAAAGCTTTTTGCAGCTGGAAACAAGTTTGCGACTGGAAGAATAAGAGATCGGACGGGCCAAGGCGGAGAGGGACAACTATATAGAGGCGCAGCATCGACTCGAACAATAACGGAAATCGGTTTTTTGTCGTATGCGGGGGTAGTTTGATCAGAACGCAAATCGAATCATCCATTGTCGGAAAATTTCTTACATCGACGACTCCAGTGCCGATAGTAGCAGCAACGGCTGTATAACTAACAGCCGCAGCTGCAGTAGCATGCATTATTAGCAGCAGCAATAATATATGCTAATGACGATGATGCATATTCGAGCACTCCGATAGCTGAATCTTCTCTTTTGTCGGCAATTTCTATTAGCGTCCCGTATACAGCCAGGCCTTTTCTTTGGATTCAGGATTTCTTTAATCCACAAAACAAATACTACAATAATGATGATGACAATAATAAAAGTTCGGTCTGTTTTTTGTATTCATATTCTTTATTCAAATTTTCCTCGAAGATATAGGAAATCGTAGATCGCAATGTTTCGACAACGTTGGCAGTAGTACTAGTGGCAACTGTGGCAAGAGCAGAAATATCAGCGAGTTATTAGACAGCAACAAAATCGACGATCAGGGTGCGAGTGGAAGAAACCGCGCGACTTATTCGTTCGAGATATAGACTCCCTCCTTTCGTAGACTATTCGAGTGGAAATTGAACAATAAACTCGACCGTTCCTCAGGAACAAACAAGACTGATGAACCGTAATGAATTATTTGTACAAATTCGACATAAATACACTTATTCGAAATAAAGCAAGGTCTTTGTAAACTGCATGAATAGTCCAGTTGCTAGGTCGATTGAGTAAAATTTTTTCGAGGTTGATGGCTTAAGTTAATGTTTTTTTTATGTTTTTTGGGTCGTAGAACAAGAATCTGTAAATACTTTTTTCGTAAGTTGATGCAATAAAAAGTTATTAACAATTTATTTGTTTAAATTGTCCTAGCGAT